CATTATATTTCAAGTTGTCTTTAGCCCTTACCCCAGAGATGGGGAACTCCAGAGATGGGCAAGTGCCCACCCTCATAGTCCTTGCCCTTAAAGTGATGGAGAGGACCTGAAGACCACTTGACAAGGACGCCAACCAGCACCGAGCAAGCATTTTCCTGGTCAGGCAATTTATTTGCTAAGTTTCTTCACCTCCCAAGTGCTAAGAGTACAGGGTATCCATCGTTACCCTGGCTCAGTCTAGACACTTTAGCCTTTCAGATATATCAAGCCTATTGTGGCTGAGGCTGGCACTGGGAATCCTTTGGCATTTTTCTTCCACAGGGGAATGTGTCAGTGAGGAACTTCGAGGCCAGTCAGTGGTTTCAGAACTACCAGTCTTCTCCGTGCCACTGTTGTCTTTTTTGTTTGTTTGTAAGACAGGGTTTCTCTGTGTAGCCCTGGCAGCCCTGGGACTCACTCTGTAGACTGGGCTGCCTTCAAACTCGGAGACATGCCTGCTTCTGCCTCCTGAGTGCTGGGATTAAAGATGTGCGCCACCAACTCTAGTTTATTTTGATCACACACAGATGTGCCTGCATGTCTGTATGCATGTGAGTGCTGGTGGGGATCCCCTGGGGCTGGAGTTACAGGCAATTGTGAGCCACCTGGCATGAGTGCTAGGAACTGAACTCGGGTCCTCTGCAAGAGCCCTAAGCTCTCCTAACTGCTGAGCCATCTCTCCAGCCCATTTTGAATGGACAGGATTTAGCTCATTTGACATCGTTCTGCCCAGCTAGAGCTAGCAGTCTTCCTCACGTCACTGACCGTCAGGGATGGCCTGGTAGCTGGTTAATAATGCTATGAGACTTGCGTTCTCCTTGCTGGTTCCAGGTATTTTTGTGGGTGGAGGTTCAGCAGCCTCAGCTTTCAAGTGTGGCTGTCTCTCCCAGGTTGAAGCCGAACCCCGGGGCTTCTCTCTAAGATCACTCACTGCTCTTAACTGCCAAAGCTCCCAGCAGAAAGTACATCTTTGAGTCCAGGCTGCTTATCGAGTGCTTGCTGTATTCAGGACTTACCAACTCGTTTTCGGGCTCCCTGAATGAAGCCTTCACACTCTGCAAACCTGGCTGCTTGTCGAGAACTGGGACACACACTCTTGACGCAAATGACTGTTGAGGCCCTGTTGGTCACTTCAGTGGAACCTCAGGTGCTTTTGAATTCCGGAAAATTGAGATCCTGTGGGTTTTGTGGTGAAGAGGAAATGACACCGCCAATGAGAGGTCCTGGCACACCTCCTTGGCTTGGCTGGCAGGCCCTGCTGCGGCTTGTCTCAGAAAGTGGCCATTTGGTGCTTCCATGATTGCCCTAACTTTCAGGAAAAGCGAGAGCAGCTCCATTTCCCTGTGATGGGACCCCTCTCGTGCCAGGCCTCAGCAGAGTGGTTTCACAGGAGACAGCAGCCCCAGGCCTCCAGGGCTGCCAGCACCAGCATATAGGGAGTGGCCGTGTCCCTCAGCTCAGGCCCCGCTGGCCGCATGAGCTGTGATCTGAGTGTGATGAGGAGCACAGGCCTGTGGCCTGCTTTCGAATATTCAGTCAGATCTCCAACAGCTTTTCTAAAAAGAGGAGACTAGCGTAGAGGCCCGTGGTAGAGTATGACATGAGTGTAGCTGTGAGCTCTGTGCCACACTGGGAAAACGTATGTGTGTGTGCATGCGCGCACACGTGCACACCAGGCTTCTGGGCCTGTAGTGGTAATCAGAGATTCAGACTAGACCTCTGGCTCTGCAGAACTGGTAACCTAAAGGAAGAGAGGCAGACAAGCAGGGGGACTGAGAGCCATCTGGGCAAGGGCCGAGAGGCTTCCTGGAGGAAGAGGTGTGGAAGCCTAGCGTCAGCCCAAGGATTCTTGGCAAGAGGTTCACTGACACAAAGATGACTGAGTGGCTGAACAGGGCCTGGAAGGGCAGACAAGCGGAACTGGAGACTCACAGGCTGGCTGAGGCCTCGGCCAAGCTGGTGCTTCCCCTCACTAGCTGGCCCCAGCCAGAGTCCTGTGTAAACCAGCTGTTATTAATCATCCCCCAGTGGTCCAGCCTGGGAGCCCCACACTGTGATGGATGGCCATTATTGATGAGCCTAGCCAAGTTCCTTAGTGTGGGAAAGGATAGTTTTGAGCTCACATGCTATCTGCTGGGTGGGCCTGCCTCTGGTCAGCCCTCTGGAGCTGAGGCTTGCCATTCGGAGTGGCGTGAGCAACTGAGTGGAAAGCAAAGCCTGAGATTAGGACCCTGGTGTTTTCTTCCTCCTTCCACCCTCAGCGCTGGTGAGCACACCTCACACCCAGGTGCAGGACCAGGCATGCGGGGTTGGACAAAGACCCTGCCTTCATCATAGGGGGACCTAATGTGTTACTAGCGGGGGTTTCATATCCCAGCTCAATATAGGCTAGTTATTTGGGGTGTTAGAGTGAAGAAAGACTCAGAGAAAGGAGTGAGCGTCTTTGAGATTACACAACCAGTAAATGGCAGATCTGAATTCGGGCCTGTTCATCTGGGAGGCAGGTATTCAGCTGCTGGGTGAGGGAGAGCAGGGCGGGGTGGGGGAGAGCAGGGCAGGGGGGGAGGGAGCGGGGAGGGGGGAGGGGAATCGAGAGAGCAGGGCAGGGCTGGGGGGGTATGGAGATGAGCTAGGAAAGGAGACTGGGGCTCCCATTTTAGAGTTTTCCTCCGATCATGCTGTAACAAATGGCTCCGAGCCTGAGGGAGGGCGGAAGTGCCCCTATTTAGGTCTCTGCACGGAAAAAGTGCACCTGTGCGTTGGTACTTGTGAACTTTGGCAAACAGCAAATGGACGGGGTGGGGGGTGAGGGAGGGGAGATGCTCAGGGAAGAGTAAGTGCTGTCTGCCCCGGGCATCAGGACAGGGTACAGGACTACCCTGGGCTCACCTGTGTTAGCACTGTCACCAAGCGTTCCAACTGTACACCCGAGTATGTGTAACGTGTAATTACATACATTATACATGTTATGATACATATAATATATACTGTATCATAGAAGTATATATTTTGATTCTGTTTCTTCACCCCCGTTGGTTCCAGTTATGACTAACCCTCCCCATACCAGTTAGCATGATTTGGGGTCTTGTAAGAGGGTCAGTAACTCTGGAGTGACTGAGAAAGGGTTTTTTTTGTTTGTTTTTGTTCTTTTTTAGATTATTGATGGAGCCAAACTATACATACATACATACATACATACATACATACATACATACATACATATATAAAATACATACATACATACATATAAAAATACATACATATATATACATACATACATATATATGTATGTATGTATATACATATTTAATATGTATGTATATACATATATACATATGTATATATGTATATACATATATACACATACATACATATATATATATATATATATATATATGTATTTTTTTTTTAATTTGTTTGCTGGGTGCACGGGCACACACCTGTAATCCCAGCACTCAGGGAGGCAGAGGCAGGTGGATCTCTGTGAGTTCGAGGCCAGCCTGGTCTACAGAGTGAATCCAGGACAGCCAAGGCTGCACAGAGAAACCCTGTCTCAAACGACAACAGCAACAACAAAAACTGGTTTATGTGTTGTATGTGTGTGTGTGTGTTCTTGTGATCATGTGCACATGGAAGTCAGAGTTGATGCCAGATATTTTCCTCAGTTGTTCTCTTACCTTAAAAAATTTTATTCTTTCTTTGTGAAGTGTGTGTGCGCACACCAGCATGCTTGCACATGGACGCATACACTCCACAGCACGCATGTGGAGGTCAAAGGCCAATTTTTGAGCTGGTTCCCTTCTTCCTTCATATGGGGCTCAGTGGTCAAACTCAGGGTTAATTTGTCGGTCTTGGAGACAAAGGTGCTTGTACCTGCTGCGTCACCTGTCCAACCCAGACTTACTAGTTTTTTATGGATGCATGTTAAAAAGATAACAAAAGGCAACAGATTCTTGAGAAACATGCTGAGATCTTTACAGGTGATGGGAAGAGAAACGCATCGTCCAGACAGCCGAACTGTTCTGAGCCTGAGTGGTTCTAAGCGACGGGGTCTGGCTCTTAGGTAGGGCTTGCCTCTGGGGACACTGAAGGTTACAGCAGGTCTAGAGTCTGGTTTCAGAGATTCTCGTCGTCGCTGGACACCACGGGCCAAGCCAAGCTGCCCTCCCTGGTTCGCTCTGGTGGTGGCATGGTCCCCTCTGCTGGAGGGAAGCCTCGGCGGAGCGAGCCTCCTTTCTCAGCAGGTCCCAGCTGTGGGCTCCCATGAGGCTGCCCTGGGTCAGTCCGGCCTTGTTCAAGCTTGTCTTGCTTGAGTTTTTTTTTTTTTTTAAAGCTTTGGACATTCTTCCCTTGGGAAACACAGATCCATGGGTCTGGAATTCACCAACATCTTGGGGTGTAAATACTGGCTAGCCTGTGTGGAGACTCCAGCCAGGGGCTGTTGCCAGTAGCTGCAGCCCCGTTAGGTGTTCTTTCTGTTCAGTGAGAGCTTGCTCGTCTCTTAAACTCTTTGAGGCTGCAGCTGTTGTTACCATCTTGTGGGGAGGGCATGTGTGCATGTTTGTGTGTGTGTGTGTGTGTGTCGTTGCCCCATTTTTCCAAACCCCTTCCCCCTTTTTGTTATTAGTTACCCGTATTTGTGCTCCAAGCAGAAAAGCTGGCTTCTGTGTGGCTGGCCCCTGTTCTGTCACTAGCTGTGACCTTCACTGTTGAGGGGCTGGTCTTGAAGGCAGTTCAGCTGGCCAGCCTCAGTGGGTCCATGCTGTGACCAGACCCTCCTGACTCCTCACCTCATTTGTAGCCTTTTCACACCGTGGTGACAGCAAGGGGTTTCCGGGCCCTGCCGGCTCCATTCTCAGTACATCCCTGGCATCTGCCTGAGCTCCCCCGGAGGGCACACGGCTGCCACACACTTGTGCCCCCCTGTAAAGGTGACCTTTTCTTTGCTGGACTTCCAACAGGCAAAGCTGGTGCGCTACATCTGCAAGCAGCGGCAATGCAAGCTGAGCGTGAGCCCCAGCAACAGGAGCGCCGAGCTCAACAGCTACCCGCGCTTCAGTGACTGGCTGTACATCTTCAACGTGAGGCCCGAGGTGGCGCAGGTATGCAGCAGGCCAGCCGGGGACAGGCGAGAGGGGACAGGCAGGGGCCACAGCCAAACCTGGGAATGGCTGAGATGTAGAGGCTACATGCTCTGCCATGGGGAGCAGCAGCACCCAGGAGGAAACCAGGGTACCTGTGGCTACAGCAAGTGTCCCCAGTGCTGGTGCGGTGCGTCATAAACTGGGACATCCCGGCCACGGCTGGTCATTCATGTGGTCATCATGACAATGGTCGTCCTTCCTGGAATCCTTGGCTCTATGGCAGATACATAAGAGGCTCAGAGTACTTATTGCTCTTGCAGAGGACCCAGGCCCAGTACCGGGGTTCAGTACCCACGCACTGGCTGACAACCATCCATAACTTCAGCTCTCGGGGATCAGGCGCCCTCTTGCGGCCTCCACAGTCACCAAGCATGCATATGGTGCACACACATACAAACAAAACATTATTTCCCACAAAGAAAGGAAATGAAATTGTTGTCTCGCTCTGCTCAGAGTCTAAAAGGAGGGCTTTGCTCCTCTTCTTTCTTGTCCTGGAGGACCCACAGGTGGCAGGGAGCAGCCAGGGGAGCAGGAGACAAGAATCTGAGCCCAGCCCCCCTTCCATCCTCCTGCACCCTGCCCAACCACAGCTTCCCACTTAACCAACAGTATACTCGGAGAACGTGTCAGGGTACGGGGCAGCCTTCGGGGATCGAACATAAGCAGCCACGTGGGGGCTGTGCTTTACCAGGTCAAGTCTCGTAAATCTCCCTGGTCTGCAGTGTGAAAGACTGGCCCTTGCTAGCGCTTAAAGTTAAATCCATTCAGTACGGGCACCGAGGAAAGCAGAAGGAAGGGGGGACGGATGTCACTCGTAGCCCTGCCACTCGGGAAAACTGCGCAAAACAATTCTTTTGGGATTCTGATCTTTACTCCCTCCCCCCCAATGTAAAAACCTTTATAACATTTCTCAGGGGTAGGGAGAAGCCAGCCAGGCAGGGAGTCACTGGTCTCACTGCTGTGCCTGTGCATGAGAGCTGTAATCTGAAGCCCGCATACCAACAAAACAGTATAAAATTACCTTGGGTATGAGTTTTCCTGCCTGTGACATATTGAAGGAGCAGTCTTTTTTTGGACATATGAGGGTTTATAACATTACTAAAATTGATCTCCTCTCTATATTTGGTGCAGTTGGCTGGTTGGTTTGTGGTTGGTTTGAGATAGGTTCTCGCTGTGTAGCCCTGGATGGCCTGGGACGCTGTGTATAGTCCAGCAGGGTGGCCTCAGACTTGAGGTGCTCCTCCTGCCTCTGCCTCTGCCTCCTAAATGCTAATAGGCGTGTCTCACTCTGCCCAGCTGATGTGTACCTTTTCAAGGGCAGCTGCTCAGGTTGGAATGTAAGTGTGAGGCCCATCTGTGCGACAGTTTCTGTTGGGACCAGCTAGAATAGTCTTGTTTGCTTGTTTTTCAAGACAGCATTGCTCTGTGTAACCTTGGCTGTCCTGGACTCACTCTGTAGAGCAGGCTGGCCTTGAACTCACAGAGATCCACCTGCCTCTGCCTCCCCAGTGCTAGGATTACAGACGTGTACCACCATGACTGGCTCATCTAGGATAATCTTATGTTTTGCTGTCATCACTTGACAGTTAGCCCAGTGTTTTTCCCATGTTTTCACACTCTTGTGTCTTATTGTTTCTTTATTCATGTTCACTGATTGGATGTGGTAAGTTAGCAGACAAAGGTCAACAGCCACTGCCTGTTCGATGTGACAGTAACCCGTATTAGTGTGATACTCTTTGTAAATACTCTGTAATTTCCCCTAGGAGACATTCCTGGATGGAAAAATGACACCAACATAAAATGTGCCTGTCTGTCATGGGGCTGGGGAGCAATTGGACCCCAGTCAAGCTGCCCCGAGGCCCAAGGTACCCTCATGTGTAGTATGGTCCGTGCTGTAGGCAGAAAGGGGTGGAATACGACCGAGGGAAACTGCTTTGTGCAACAGGCTCCTAGAACGTTTAACAGTTGCCCGCCCGCACACTCGTGGGTGCGTATAGCATATACACAGAGTATAATGAGCTACAGCCTCTGTCTGTCTCCTCGCCCACCTTCCTGCTCATCAGTCTTCTGCCATACAGGAAGGAGGTTGGACATGCCATGTGGGCACAGATTTAAGTACATAGACTTGGCAATTGTGCAGGAGCACGTTCCCCCCCCCCCCCCGTGCTGCCACTGTCATCTGAGTCTCACTGTGCCTCCCCCGTCCCCACGATCTGTGTCAGTACCTCCAGCTGAGGACACGGCAAGTCCAGGCATGTTCACAGAGCTGGTGACAAGGACAAACCCACGCATGGTTCAAGTCCGAAGTGCTGGACTCCAGAGTGTGCCTTTTCACTTCCATTGCTCTCTGAAGATACGCTTCGCAGCTGGTCCTATGCCCCAAAGGGCTTCTTGGCAGATACCTGAAGAACTTGGGAGACTCAGTCTTTTAGGGGGTGTGGGGACTAGTGGCTGGCAATGTGGAGTGTTGCCGCCGCTGCTGCCGGGGTGGCCCCCGGAGAGCTGCGTGATAGCAGCCAGGTGAGAGGCCTCCCAGCCAGGCCGAGCTCTAGCAAGCTCGGAGTCAAGTGCTGGCTGAATCAAAGCCCCAAGCGACTCAGCAGAGCTGTGTGCTCAGTGAGTGGCGAACTTCTTTGGATCCAAGGAGCTGATGGGCAACAAGGCCCCAAGGCCAAGTGGAAGATGGGAGCCAGGATGTCCTTTGGGGTGGGGAGCTCTGGGAACAGAGGGTGAGAGAACAGAAAGCCTGCCTGCGACCTGTCACCTGGAAACAGTTGGCACCTGAGAAGGCAGCCGCTCAGGTACCATCCATTTTCATGCGCAGATGGATGCTGTTGTCTCCCCACCTCAGTATCTTGTTAGGCAATTGTTAGGATCCCCTCTTTCCCATCCGTTCTCTGGCTGTCCCTAAGAAGCTGTGTCTTCATGCACATGGACTCTGTCATAGAGACCAGGGACCCTAGTCCCTCCCAGCCCCCCACTCTGCAGGAGGCCGAGGCCTTTAGTGGGATAGTAGCCTCTTACTGTGCCAGACTGGCCCTGAGTCATGAACACTAAAAGTTAAGTAGCATTATGTCCCTGGCCTGCCTGCCCAAGTGCCTTCGCCCACCTCCGGCTAAGAAAGCTAACAACCACCCCAAAGGCTCGACAGGACAGCTTGACTCCCACTGATGGAGAGTCCAGAAGTCCTGCTGATACCCTCAGGAGAGAGCTCTGACCTCAGCCTCCCAGCCTGCCACGGAGAGGTCCCAGAACCTGTCAGCATCTCCAGAAAGCCGGCTGGAGGTCTCTATATGGTGTGAAGATCCTTCTGGAGAGGCCCCTTCTGCCCGACCCTCAGGTTTGACCTGGAGAGAGTCTCCTCTGAGGAGTACAGGCTACAGAACGTAATCCCCACCCCCCAGCAAAAAAAAGTCTCCAGTGCATTTGAGCGTGTGATTTAGACAGGCAGCATGGCATCTCTTCCTTCTTCTGGGCAGGAGTTATACATTCTATGGCCGCCTGGCCGAGTGTGCCCTCCGAAGGCCCGTGGGCATGGCTGCTGGAGCTGCTTTCCAGTGGGAACAGCACAGCCCTGTGGTCATGGATGTGCAGGTGAGTGCACCCAGAGCCTAAGGAGCTGTGGGTGTCCCAGGGCCCCTCAAGCTTCCCTAGCTGTGTATCCCCGAGCAAGTCACTTCATTCCTCCAGGCCTCTCTTTACCCATGTGAGAAAGAGTCTGGATAGTTTTGCTCAGCCCTCTCCCCAGGCAGGTTCTTTGAGAGACAAAGGAAGGCCAGAGCGGTAGAACTGTGTACCGAGAGGTGACCTAGGGAGGCTGTGTGGAACCAAACTGTCTTCTGTCAACAACTCCACAGATGGGCTATGCTGCGCCTCAGCTGTGTCTCTTCTCCAACGACCTCAGTCTTGTCCTTCAGAAAGGATTTCATGATGTTTTCCCCCTGGGCTCCTATGGAATGTGTGTCACTAGTGTGGCCTGTGGTCACAGCTGGGACCCCTCCCCCACAAGCACATTTTCACCTCACAGGCCCAGCCAGGCTTCTTTAACTCGTGGAGTCTCACAATCACCCTTTTCTCCCCTTTGTTTTTCCTATCCCTCACTAGCAGTGATCAGAAAACAAGGCAGAGACCCCTGGACTCCCTGACATACAGTGCCTTTAACTGCTTTCCACAGCTCCACGGCAGGAGCTGTTACAAAGTGAGCAGGCAGAGACCTCCCTGCTCCCTGCTCTGAGCCGGCCACTTCATCCACGGTTGCCAGGTACCCTGGCCAGATCTCTGCATGCGTGCTGCAGTCATCGAAACTGACGGTTCACGCTTGTTCCCTTCCTGTCTTTTGTTTGCTACAGTGGGATCGTACAGCATGAATTCTGTGTGATGTTAGTCTTCTTCTCGCCTTTGTGCGGATCCAAAAAATCCACTTCATTCTTCTTCTAAAGCACAATAGTGAGAGAGTTCTTCAGGATGTCTGACAAAGGGCCCGGGATGCAGCCCAGTGACAGACAGCCTACGCTCGTGAAGCTGACGCGGTGGCTCGGCTGAAGGAGCAGGGACATCCCCAGGAAGGTGCAGTTGGAAAGGAAGACCTCCCTCTAGCCACACACGCATATGCACACGCACATACAATGAGTCCCTGAGTTCTTTCCCCCAGCACCCAAAGAAAGGAAGGAAGGGAAGGAGGAAGGGAGAAATCGGTTGTTATGAACCATTGTGTCTGGATGGGCCCACTCGCTTAGACAGGTGCTCACAGTGACATCAACATCAGATGAGCCTGAGAGCCTGTGCATACAGAAGCGACACCACGCACGCACGCACGCACGCACGCACACATGCACACACAAAGAAGCCGTGTACCTAACCCCAGAGCACCTGGCAGGTTGGAAGCCCTTGCAAATCTTTTCTCGTCAAAGGGTGATAAAAATGAACAGAAATCAGTGGAGACAGGGATTGGGGGTGTT